ATAGACATGGCTGTGTTCCAATAAAACTTGATTTAAAAATACCCTGACTAGACAGTACTTAGCCTGTGGGCCATCCATAATTCGTTGACCTATGGTTCAGACTACAATTTACCACATGTAAGAATCCCTTCCAAAAGATGCTGCAAATGGTCATATACTTCATCTGAACACATCCGGAGGCTAGAGTTTCTCAGGAAGAATGAAAGAGTAACTCCAGAAAAAAAGTTTCTGAAATAATGAATGTATTTAGTGTTAAAAGGAAGGCAAATAGCAGGACATATTAGCATGAAGACAGTAGGAGAAAACTACAAAATGGAGCTATAGAAAACATACCAGGACTGGGTAGCAAACAGCTAGCTCTCAAGTTCACACAAATAGAGTTAGGTTCTTAACCTATGGGGACATGTATGCTTAAGTCCAGCAAAGCACCCAAGTCTGCTTTGGTCAGGGACAAAAAAGATCAAGGCTCAGATATTCTTAGGTGCAGGTGGTACAATACTGACACCAAATCTTTCCTCTCCAACAAACGGGGTTTTGTTCTGGTGATTTCCATAACTCGGGGAAACCAGTGAAGGGTGTGGACAAGATGTGCTTCCCCTCCTCCCACCCTCCTCTGTACCCTTCTGCTCCAGTATTACACATGGCTGCTCTAGTTCACTCCTCTGTTCACCATTACTGCTTCATTTCCCCCATAATAAGTCATAAATTGGGTCCCCTACACTTAGTGTCCCCATGTTAAAAATTAAATAAATAATTCAGCAATCCTACTGTGGGCCATGAAAAAGTCAAAAAGTAGAAAGTGCTCTGCCTCCCACTTGCCCCATTCAGTGTTGCAAAATAGTCAGATGACTTGTCAACTTACAACCGGTCTTTATTTCCAGATAACTTGAACAATGGGAGGGCAAGGTGTTCCAAAAACACAATCGGCTCTTGTGAGCTGCCTCTTCCATGTCTAGGAAAGAGTACAGAGCACTGAAGGCTACATATACAACCAGATCTGGACTCAAATCCAAGTTCTCCCATTGACTGGGTATGGAACCTTGAAGATAATTCAGCCTCCCCAACATTCAGCTCCTCGCGTGTCCAATGAAGGTAGTAGCATCACCTGCTTCACAATGTTGCAATCATAACAATGCACAGAAAACACTAGTTCACTGAATATTGCTTCCCTTAGCTTCAAGTCTTTAACAATGAAAGAATAATGGGAAATAAGTCCAAAAACATTTCTGTTCCTAGGACCAGAGCAAGGGTACACCTCTCCACTTTAGATGACTAGCACAGAGAGCAAGCTGGGCTGTGAGAGAACCTGTATGGCCAACTGCAGTCCAGGAATTCTACAGATCCTACCACCAGCAGCTCCTGATGTGGGCCCAGACCTCTACAGGGGACATCTGTTAGATCATGAAAATTCAAGCCAACAGGATCACTGTCTTAAACTTAATCCTGTGGCCAAAAGTAATTCATTTGAGTAATATCTAAGAGTTTTCCTCATTATAACTGGTAGTTCAGGTTAAATGGCAAATTGAAAGAGCTTGATCAAAACCCCAGGGACAGCAGCAACCTGACAAACCACTTGAATTAATTCCAGATTCCATTCATAGTCTGACATAGGACCCAGCAAGACCCACTGGCATCTCCAGCCCTTCATGAAAACTGCAGGCCAGGTCTGGCTTCCAAGGCAACCAGCACGAGTACATGCGGAGGTGGTGTCTAGGCAGAGGCTTCTAGTGGGTCAGGAAATGGAATCTGAGGAGCATGTTAGAATTTCAAGTCAACACCACAGTCATGTTTCCTCTACTGAAGGTTTCTTCAGATATCACTTCGAAGACAGCATCTTAAGAACTTTTTTACTGGGCATTAATGCAATTCCATGGAGCACAGGAAGGAATGTGAGTGAGTACAATTCCCTATTTGCCCAAATGTGAAGGGAGTGCAAAGCCCATGAAAATATAAAAATGGATGTTGAGGGATGGCCCAACTCCGCAGGACTAGAAGTTCTGAATGCCCTTAACCAGCAGCCTGGGTTGGATTCACCCTCGCTCCTCTCGGGCTGGGTGTGGAATCCCACAATCCCATGGGCTGCAATAAGGTACTCCTATATATGCATCCTCAAGGACTCCAGTCCTCAGTCTCCAAGCTCACTGCAACTAATGTCCTGGTTGCGCTGGTATAGTAGCTGGTAGGTAAGACACACCTTTCCTAGGCAATGTTTCCTTTCAATCACTGGCAAGAAACTTCTACGTTTTTCTGCCATGTCCTTCTCTCCCGTTCTATTCTTGGAAACACTGATCAGAGAGCCTCTTTGGAGACCTAACCAAAAGGGACCATGGAACAGATAAGGTGCCTGAAGGCTACTGGGAGGAAACACTCTATTAGGTTGAATCATATAAAATTACCAATATTCAGCCCTTTTTAAGCTACAGAAATGACAATTTTATATGGTTCAACCTAACTTCTACCAAGTAACTTTCTGAAAGGTTTAGAATCACTAGCTCTATGTTCTCAGAAACAGTTAAAAGCCAATGCTTCAGCTAGATGTGACTTCAAGGCACCGAGTCCATGGGCTTCCAATCCTATGAGATCAGTTAAAAGGGACCATATGCTGGGCCATAAAAGTCATCTTAATAGATTTCAAAAAACTGAAATCTTACATAGTGTAGTCTCTGACCTCAATGGAATTAAATTAGAAATCAACAACATGACATCTTTAAAAAGCCCAGCAACTTACTTTTCCAGAACCCCTGGGTCAAAAAATAAATCATAAAGGAAATGAGAAAATATTCTCAACTGGCTGAAAAGGAAAACACCAAATTTTGAGGGATGCAGTTAAAGTGATACTTCGAGGAGACTTTCTACCTTTAGATGCTATGTGAGAAAATAAGAAAGGTCTGAAATCAATGATCTAAGTTTTCACTTTAGGAAACTAGAAAAGGAAGAATAAACTGAAGCCAAACTAAGTAGAAGGAAGGGAATAATAAAGAAAAGAAGGCAATAAAACAGAAAACAGACAAGAAATGGGGGGGAAGGTAAACCAAAAGCCAGTTCATTGCAAAGATAAATACAATCGATAAAATTTCAGCTGCACTAAGAGGAAAAAGAAGACACAAATGATAAAGATCAGGAATGAGAGAGGACACCACCACAGAGCCTCCAGGAATTAAAAGAATTATAAGGGAGCTCTGCGAAAACTTGACAAACTTGACTAATTCCCTGTGGGCTAATTCCAGCTCCTTACCTGTTTTCATACTTTTATCAGAACAAGCCACACACATTGTCTCTGGTTGCTTTCGCAGTGTAATAACAGGGCTGAGTAGTTGCAACGGAGGCAGTATGGCCCACAAAGCTGAAAATATTTACTATCTGACTCTTCAGAGAAAAGATTACTGAAGGTCAGATTAGGTGAAATAGACAAATTCCTTGAAGCACACAAGTACTGGGACTGATTCAAGAAGAAACAGAAAATCTGAACAGACCTGTATCTCTTAAAGGTACTGATTTTGTCCTTAAAACATTCTCACAAAGAATTCCAGGCCCAGATGGCTTTTCTGGTGAATTCTATCAAATGGCCAGGGAAGCATTAATACCAATCCCACACAAACTCTTTCTGAAAAGAGAGGCAGTGGGAATACTTCCCAATTCATTCTGTGAAGACAGTATTATCCTGATACCAAAATTGGAGAAAGACATTAAAGAAAACCTATGGAGGCACAAAACCAGCCTCTCAAAATCAGCATGGGCTGACTCACCACATTCTGAAGGGCAGTTAAACTAAAAAACAAAAAATCTAGGGCATACCAATATCTGAAGAATGAGAGAAAACCACCTGGGAACAACATGTCATTATACCTGAGGCCCTACATCTCTCAAGGCATGTGGTAAGAGAATGATCTGAAATTCCTGTTCCAGGGCAGGGGAGAAACCCCACCACTCTTCCTCACAACTAGTAGGGCTTATTCACCTTCAACAGCAGAGACAATAAAAGAGACCTATGACCCCTTGGCCTTAACGCCATTCTGACCTGCAACACAGAATAAAAGCTTTGACCATGTCCCTAATGTTCAGAGCTCTGTCACCAGAGCCAAATACCTTGCAGTATGATGGTCGTGTCACAGGTAACTCTTTCCATGTCTCAACTAGACTTAGGTTTTTACAAAATAAAACCTGGCGGCACAGACTTCATACATTTTCCCCAAGGTCACTGGCAGCCAGGACAGTCACGGCCGTGCACACTTGCGGCAGGCTGTTAAATGTGGCGACTCAGTTGGGAAGGGTCCGACTCAAGCAGTGACTGACTAGATCAGTAACAAAACGCCTTGACTTCTGAGACTGGACCTGGTTCCTTCAATACCTGAGCATCTACTGAGTACTAAAGAAACAGGGGCCTCCAGCAGCCTCCAAAACTAAGAAGGCTTCAGTATGTGTCCATCTAACTTGAGGGGCAGAAAGAGTCCCCAAACTCCCTGGGTTATACTGAGCTCCTCCACTTTTGGTGGCTCCCCAAGAAAAGACCCTACAAAGAGACAGGTACTTGACATGTGTGAAGGCTCCTGATCTTTTCTCCAGGATCAACAAAACCATGTTTGGAATTTCTCAAGGATCACCCGACACAGTGCTAACTGCAGAGGTCTCCAGGTGAAGGCTTCTTCCACGCTGACAAATGTGAGACACAAGGTGGTTTTGTGTCACTAACTGAAATTGGCTTGGTTTTTTTCCACCTTCCCCACCTGAATGTAAGCTCCATGAAGGCAGGGAACTTTCCTCTCTTAGGTGCCACTGTATGCAGTGCCTGGGCACAAGGTAGATACTTGATAATATTTGCTAAAGGAGTGGCTAGCAGATGACCATCTGATTCCAGTGCAGCATACTGATGGTCTAACAGTGTGCAAATAGAAAATTTATGAAGCTGTCCAGGCTTAGTGAAGTTTGGTATTTGCGGATAACATAGCAGAGAGATGGCTTTTAAAGTCACACATGTTAACCAAACGAGTCAGTCAACTCACAGCTGGCATACGAGCGGCTGTCATCCTCACACATTTTGTGCAGCTGCTGGAACTCCTCCTGAGCCAGTTCGAACCGCTGCTGCTTAATCTGGTAGATTTCTTTCTTGGCATTGAGGGCCTCCTGGGCTACAATTAAATATTCCTTCAACATCCGTTCTTGCTCTCGCCTCCACTGTTCTCTGGGGTCCTCAATCTGGGTAAGCTCTGAAATTAAAAGCATAAGACGTGAGTGAAATAAAACAGACATACACACAAAGAATGTAAGTGACTTCAAAGTCATATCTTTAGGTTGGCCAATAGTCCCGTGGTTATGGGACTAGTCGATATGAAAATGGATTACCAGGATAAACGTTATGGAAGAGTCTACGTAACAAGCCTTCCTAAGTGTGGAACACCTATTTTTACATGCACAGTTAAAAAATGAGGGGAAAAACTCTACAGATATAAAATAGTTCATGGGAGGGGAAGACAATACCAGGCAATTTTTCACACTGTAAATAACTGTTGGCAGAGATGAACCAAATGAGCTCATTACTGTCAGGCTAACAGATTTCCAGCCCTCTGCCCTCAGACTTCTTTGACTAGAGTGCGGTCCACTCCGCTGCCCTCTGACTGGCTTGCCTCCCCCCCCGCCACCCCCCAGACCAAGCAACCCTTCTGCATTCCCCATGGACTTGCTTGTCTCCTCCCATCCATAAACTCCCCATTTCCCACTCTGGCTTTCTCACCCTACAAGCTCCCGTAAGGGCTCAGGCTACCTCTGGCTCCATCCTCTCTCCTGAGCTCCCATCTTTGCTTCCCAACTGCCTCCTAGACGGTTCTCCACCTGGACAGAACCAAAGTAATTCTGAGTCCTGCATCCAAAGCAGAACTCATTCTCAGGCAGCTCCCCGAACTGAAACGAAACCAAACAATGACACCTGTGCATTTGTTCATGCTGCTCCGTCCTTCTGCCCACCGAGAAACCTTAACCTCTTCCAAGTCCCTTCGCAGAAGCACCACTTTCTGAAGCCTTCTCTGCCCCTCAGAGCACATATATCTCTAGGCAATGGCTAGGGCTGCTGTTCCTACCACTTAGCACATAATTGTTTTTATATTTCTTTGTTTCTCACATAAAGTGCAAGCCCCCAGAAGGCAGGCGCACAGCCTCAGTCATCTATATTCTCAAGACCCTTCATCAGTCTGAAACCCAGAAGGCCAACAATTGTTGACTGTGGGCTCAATGAAAGAGGAATGAAAGGGGTAGTCTGCTCCAAGGACAGAGGACTACAGTCCCAAAATCAGATTCTTAGACTGAGGGGCAGACTGAGCAAACAGGCAAGACACCCAGAGTCAGGAAGGACTCGCTCTCTTCAGACAACGACTCTCCTAGTGGAGGTTTCACCAGAAGTAAAAAACGGAAAGCAGTGTCCCTGTTCCAAATGTACAGTCCCCAGGCTATGATGGCTCTGTTATAATACTGACATATTGATAAACATATGCAGGCTGCTGTCAGCTGAAACAAAATGAGAGTTTAGCCCGGCCAGGAGTAGCTCAGTGGTTGAGCGTCGACCTAGGATCCAGGCGATTGGGGTTCGATTCCCGGTCAGGGCACATGCCCAGGTTGAGGGCTTGATCAATAACTCTCTCGTCGTTGATGTTTCTATCTCTCCCTCTCCCTCTCCTTTCCTCTCTCCGAAATCAATAAAGATATATTTTTTTTTAAATGAGAGTTTATAGGAGAGAAGGGCTGGTCAAATTTCCCCACCCATATCCTAAGTAAATATGCAAAATAATCCAATGTAATATTACTTGGCCATGAAAAGGAATGAGGCTCTAACAGATGCTACAATGTGGTTGAACCTCAATGATGAAAGAAGCCAGACACAAAACATCACATAGTATATGGTTCCATTTATATGAAGTGTCCAGAATAGGCAAATCCATAGGGAGGGAAAGGAGACTGGAGGTTGCCAGGGGCCAGGAGACTGAGGAGAAATGGGGAGTGACTGCTCATGGGTTCGGGGTTTTACCTGAGGGTGATGAAATGTTCTGGAACTAGATAGAGGTGGTGCTTGTAAAATGCCACTGACCTTTACACTATCATGGTTAATTTTATGTTCTGTGCATTTCACCTCAAAATGGTTAAAAATGTAAGTTTTATGTCTGGTTTACTTTCTGTCTCTCTCTCACACACACACACGCCCAGGAGTGCTTGCTAGCATGTTTCAATAAGTTCTCCTTTGAAACGCCTTCCCTCCAACACCCCTTACCATCCTTTCACACTGCCACCCCAGGGCCCTCCCAGAAGCCTCTCCAGGCCTTAAAAGCTCACACAGGGAAATAAGAAACTAAAAAATCAACAAGAAGTAGAGCCTTGCCCTAGCCCCGGAGTTCAGATTCAGCAGGCCTGGGGCAGCAGTCAGCACTGTCTGTAACTGCCTGGCATCTCTGACACTTGTTTAGCTGTGGTACCCACTGCGCCCACTGGCATCGTTCGCACTCTGTCCAGTGTGCTGGAGGGTCCCGGGCACCTCAAAGGTGGTCAACCCTGGACCCCTCTGGCCCCTTACCCTACTGTCAACCTGCACAGTCCAGTTTAACGTAGCAGGCCTCCTCAGCTGCTGTGTCTTTTGAAAGCTGTGCTATCAAGAGTTGGATTCTCAGGGGCCAGTTTTCTGGAATGAGGTCTTTGGCCCCTTATGCACAAATTATTACAACAATAACCTTTCTTGTTCCTGAAAAAATAAAAGAGATGGGTTCTCTGAAGGTCCCAGAGGGAAGAGGCAGTATGACCCGCATGCCCCATGGTGCTGGCTCATCCCAGTTATGCTCACAGTGGCATTAAGGAAGTCCTAATGTCTAGAGTGTCCTGTCGAGTCCTCGAGGGTGGAGGCTGGGTCTCACTTTCCTACATCCCCAGGGCCTACAGACTGGCCAGAACAGAGAGGTGCTCTCTAACACTTGCTGTGACTCAG